ATATAAATATATATATATATATATATACATACACTCATACATATACAAATACTAACCCACAGACAAAATATTTTCTGAACAGTTGAACAGCAACTAGTCAACAGATAGAAAAAAATGGAGTCAATTGGTTTTCTGCTCCCCCAAGGTCCAGTTTAGATGTCATGGTCTTTTAACATTCAGAGAGAGAAAATTCGCGTAAGCCTTGCATCTTGCAAGAGGAATCCATTAACCAATGGAAGTTAGGGCGGAGGCTGCCAAACACCAATGTATAGTTGGTCAGATTAAGTGAGGTTGCAAATTAAACTGAATCGGGAGCAACTGAGGCCTAGTAGTGAAGAACAGTCACTGTAAACTGCAATCTTCAGCTCTGACGTTTTCTTTCTTCTTGTTGCCATGGCAACTCAGTAGGACAGCTTCAAATGTCAGGAGTTCTTACAGACCTAAATGAGGGGAAATGTGATTATTACTACACGGATCACAGGATCTTTTAATTTTTGGGGTTCTTCCCCAAATTATCCATTGAGTGCAGGCACATTTGTCAGTGATTAGGTATAAATCATCCTGGTTCAGAAGCAATTATTTGTGAATACAGAAATCTCCAAGAGGAAAATCCAAAATGTCACCTGGGGCATTCAGAGACCTTTATAGTGCAATTCAGGAAGACGTAGTGTGGAGGTTTGAGCATAAATTTCGAGCCAGGACCTGATTCTCCCCTTTCGACACCTGGATCATTTATGTTAGTGTAAGACTGCAGATAAAATGCCAGCGAGTTACTCCCCTGCACACACTGACACAGGAAGAGCAAACAAACACTATCTTTTAGAAAAAATAACACGTTTATAGTGCCCTACAGGTTGTGAATATACCAGGGAATAAATAACCTGGCATATCATATTACTGTTGCTACAGAAACAATATATGAACTGCCTAACTATTTTCTTTTTTTAAAGGAAAATGAAGGTGGCACAATTTTAACAATTTTACCTATTTTACATGGGCACTCTGATAAAACAAAAAGGTAGTAAAGAAACTCAGCAAGAGATTAATAGCAAATGTAACATTAGTTGTAGCTAATAGGTCACTTTCCTCCAATTTCATTTGGACAAAAGTGAACTGCAAACATCCTGCATCACACTAAACCACATTACAATAGGAAGAAGAAGGAAGGGGGGGACATTTGTGTGATGGCGTTTGCCTTCCCAATTCACTGTTACTTGTGAATGGAGCCCAGGTTTCCCGGAGGTGGCTGAACACCTGCCTGCTGGTGCGAAGAGGTGAAGGAGTTCCTTGTTTTGTTTTACTTGTGTGTACAGCTTTTGCCTATTAAACCATTTTTATCTCAAGCCAAAGGTTTTCTCACACTATCCCTTCTGATTCTCTTTCCCATCCTGCTGAGGCAGTGAGCGAGCAGCTGCGTGGGGCTCAGCCACAACAATGAACTGAAGGAGGATTCATGCTCTCCACCCTGGGAAGAGACAACTGCTGCATCAAAAAACAAAAATGCAAGTAGAACATACACATCAAAACTCACAGAAAATGTTTGTCTAATATATATCACATTTGTGCACTTAAATGGTGCAATATCGATGGTTTTGTCACAATTGCAGATACATCCAGCATAACCAGCAACATAATAGATGCTGGCTTGTGCTATTTAATAACTTAAACTATTTATTTTAATTTTGGGGCAAATTTAATACAATTTTTGGTAAGGATATTTTACTTTATCTGTTTATTGTTATTATCTTGGTATTATTTGATTTGACTTCAGTGTTAAATTCACCTAGAGTCTTGCCCACATGGGCTAGGCAGCACCTGGATAGTGTGCAACAGCCTGTCCCTCCCCCTCAAGCGTGACCTCAGTTCTGTTAAAGAAAGGTGAGTAAACCGAATTAAGCAAGCATAAGAATTCATCTGAAAGATTGGGCTCACTGAAGCAAGAAGTATCACTGAGTTTTCCAAATAAGATAGAAACTGGAAGTGCTTGGCATGTGGGTGTTTAGCATTTTGTTTAAAGAAAATGTCTGGCCACAAAATTAGGATCCAGTCTTAACGTATAGGAAATCTGTGCTCATGACTGCCAAAGGGTTCCAGCTATTACTAAATTCTCATAGAGAAGTTGAGCTTCTGGGGTAGTGAAAAGCAAAGTTCAGGTCTCTGATCTCACAGACCATCTGAAAAATAGCATTTCCAGATTACAGTGAGGGTTAGTGTCATTAAAGGGCTTTTGTTCAGTCTAGACTCAAAGGAAATAAAACTAGCTTTTGAATTGGCAAAGCTACTCTGAATCTTCAGGAAATCCCTGGAGGTCTTCCTGCTAAGGACTGGCACTTGTGTATGATGAATGGACAGCAGCTGTAGCACTGAATTTCTGTGCAATCCATAGGCTGAAACTTCACCAGAGGAATCTGTCAGCACGAAATTTATAAGTATCACACAAATTCGGACAGCTAGCAACTCTTTCACCAACATCTTGCAAATAAAGGACAATATATGTTGATTTATGTGCAGACTCGAAGAAAAGCTTGTATATTTTACATCACAGTGACAGCTAAAATGAATGTTACTACCTTATCATACACCTTGCCTTTTCTGGATAAACTAGTTAGTTTAGCTTTAATTATGAATATGCTTTTTACTATGCTAGTTTTTTAACTGTTGAAGTTTCTCTCTTTCACAATATAAGCGTGCTTTCAATCCTCGCCTGCCCCTTCAAGCACTTTCTACTGAAACCGGTCCTGAACTTCACTCTTTCTGACCAATCAGCTGCTTTGGTCCATTTAATCACATGCCTGGAAATCTGGTTTTTCTCTTGTCTCCTGTGACTACTCCTGTCATTTTACCATGATTTCTCTAACCACTATTCCAGCATGTCCTTCTGTGTCATTCCCTCTATCCCAGGTTTCTGGGAAAACTTTTCTTCCCCCTGCTTTAATTTCTTCCCATTCTCTGTGATACTGTTCATGTTCAGCAATCATCTCAGTGTGATGGTTCAAAGATCTTACTCTCTTTATCAGCTTTAGACTGAAACATTGACCTCTAGCTCTGACTCCTTTTCGATGTTTAGCTGACAGCTCTGCACAGCTGAAACTGGGCTCTTAAATCTTTCCCCTACAGCATTCCCTTCTAGCTCTTTCTTTGATTGCTCAGGACAGCACTATCATCTTGCCTCTTGTTCAAGCCTAAAACAAAAAACAAACTAGAGAAGGTTTTAGTCACGGAATCTCCTTTCTAGGTCTGTATATTTAGGCTATGTCTTAATCTAGACGATTCTTTTTTCACACATCATCCCACAGGGCTTTTTCTAGTCATTCAAACAGCTTAATCTCCTACCCAGGCTCACCTCAGCTAGCAGTTTTTGCAACATCTTTTCACAGCCCTTGACAAATTTAAGCTGCTGTGCCAGTCTTTTGCTGTATGGACCATTTTCCTAGTCTGCCACTTCGACAAAAACCTCTCTTACTCTGACTCCTTCATGGCCTCTTCCCTGCTGCACATATTTGAGCTGGTTTTCCTCTCATTCATAGTCTACGATGGCAGCCTACATTTACATGTTTACAATGAAACTTGTTTGGGCCTTTCCCTGGGCTTTCCCAGGTAAATAGGAGGAGCTCCCTGCAAGCACCCACAAAATGCTGTCTCCTTAACCTCTGCTTTTGCTGGCACACCTGCAAAAATCTTGGCATTGGCAAAGGGTGTCGAGGCTATTGCGAATCCAGCTCAGTCCTTTTACCAGCCTTAACTGAAGCTGTGTTAAAAGAATTATCTTATTCCAAACATCATTTGGACGGATAAGATGTAACTCCCTGCTTGCAAATGACGACTTGACGGTGCTGTAGAGGTGGATTGCTAAAGGAGTAGTTTTTGGCTCTTAAAATGAGATTCAACATTCAAAACTACGTGCTGTAAAATTTCAGTAGATAAATCATCTGTGGTACTTCCAGGGAGAATATCCAAGATAAACCTGTCTTTGTTTCTGTTGCACACAAAGTCAATACAAAATTGCTTATGTCCGACAGAGAAGTTATTCTAATTTTTACTTTCTGTGGTTAATATAAAAGGCTATCAGTTACAAATTTATTTTCTAAAAATATTCTGATATAGTCGTATAAAGTGTTATTGGGCAAACATTCTAGACAGTAACTCTCTTAATACAAAATCTACAAAAATCAAGAACAACCAAAGTCTGGTGCAGAAAACTTAGTGATGAATGTAAGCAGATCTGCTGAAATCAACCGAACTGATCTATTACAAATTCTTTAGGTATCTGACAAGCATTTAGTCTATATTTAAAATCTCTCAGTTCTGCCAGCTTGGACTTCTAATGTTCATTAATATTTTCTGTATAGGAAACGTAGTTTTCTTGTTTGCTTTTTTCTTTTTTTTTTTCCTTTATTTTCCCTGTAAAGAAGGACCAAATGAAATTTCCAGAAATACACCCAAACTGCCAAACTCTACTTCTTGAGACCCATCTCTATAAACAGCAAACCCAAAGACTACTGATTTCTAGTGTTTATCTACTGATTTCAATGAGGCTGTGTTGATTTTTTTTGACCCATTCTTATGTATATTATTATATCATACATGATTTAAAGTTTGCAGCTGGAAACAGCATATTAAAGATAATAGTATTTAAGGAATAACATGAGCATAAAATGTGAAAATAATGTGTGCAGGAAGCACGTTTGCTGATCCACGCTATCTCTTTCAGGAACTTCATCTGCACACTAATGATCATTAAGCCTAGAAATTATTTCCTTTGTATTGAATGTTAAGAACATTGTCTCTGTAGCTGGTCTCAGCACTCAAGAATTATTACACACCCTGTGTTGTTTTAAAAGTAATTTCTGCATACCTATGACAAGTAATTTACGCATACAGCTGCAGGCATGAAAGCCCCAAAGGCGGCATGTGCGTCATTGTCCTTACCATGTGGTCACCCCCCACCTTTCCCCGTAACACAACTTTTTTCCCCAGAATTCACTCTCACTGAAGTCTTTAACGTGGTCTTCACCATTTTTATCTCATGGTTCTCTCTGCTCTACCTCTTCAGTACTCGAGAGATAAGTTCAGCCATATTCCTTACAAGATAACAGTCAAATAGTGAGATAACGGTGAAATAGGCAGGGTTATTTTATGTGTTTGCTGTCTGAATTATTACTATTACAGTTAATGCATCTCAGATAAGAAAGCACAGCTTGTTATCATAAACAGATGGCGTCTGTTGGCACTAGTACTTTGGCGTTGGAAGATGATGTTTGCTTTTGCTGGTCAAGGCAACTGGCAAATATTGTACACGTTCATCTGGATCTAATGTACTAATGGTATGGAGCCTAATAATGCTATAGGAATATAGATGATGACGCAGAAACTTAAATAGATATCAACAACCCTCTTTCTACCCACACTTAAGTCTATTGATGTTGGCTCTGTTTGGAAG